CTTCAATTCCACACCCTTCTATAGAGACCAGGTTGAGCCTTGATAGCTAGCTGCTTGCGGGAACTGATGACCTTGACAAATGTCCAAATAATACTCTTAACAAATTTATGGTGGTCCTGAAAAGGACCGTTTTGTAGTGATGGTTGAGTAATGCTGAGCTAAGCTCGACGAGCTACTGATTCCGATCCTAGCCTAGCGGTGGGACTTCTTCCTCCTTCTCTATGGTTGCTCATATGAGCTCTGCAGCTCGCTGCTTGCAGGCAGCCTTTCGTTGTTGTTGTTGTTGTTGTTGTTGAAAGCACTCCTGCTCCTGCTGCTGCTGCTGCTGCTACTACTGCTGCTGCTGGACTGGACACCACCACTTACGGTGATTGAATGAGCACCATTCAGTGGGATCGCATCGAGTTCGATTTTTAAGTCTGTGTTAGGGAATGCGCTGTTTTCAGACATTCAGTGATAATTTTGATCACCATTGCAACAGTTGGACATTTGTGTTAATTTTAGCAGATTGGTAGATAAATTTCCAATCGTTTGGCTTGTTTAGAATTAAAATCTATCTGCTATTGGTCGAAACCTTACCTCGAACCTGACTTTTTTTTCGTAATGCTGTGCATTTTGGTTTTTTGAAATTGCGTGGAATCTATTGGCGATGACAGCGACTCTGTAGCTCTTTACTCCTATGAAAAAAATCCATAAGAAAAAGTCAGACTGTGGGTGAAACATGGCGGATTTTGTACTATCCTTTCACACCATCGAAAGTTCCCATAAGACACTGTCTATATTTGCTGGAAGAGCAAATTTTTCAACGGTACCGTCAACGCCAATAGATCCTGTGGAGATTTATCTAGCCATGTATGTGTTGGTAGAGGGAAAAATGTAAACTTTTCGGGAGACGACGTCTTAACACTCGAAAGCAATTTTGTGAAATATGAAGTAAAACAAATCCTAGCTAGTTCTGCATGATGATTTTGTTGATTTTATTTATTTGTAAATTCGCCGGGAAATACCAGCTGGCGATTTGTTTTTTATGATAACTCCTTACTTGAAAACAGGCAAAAACTCACAAACAGGCTGATTTTTCATGGTATACAGTGTGATAATTCAATAATCAATAAATTATCTCAACATTTAGTGGCAAACCATTCATAAATTTTGGTAACAAACAAAAAATTCTATAATCCAAATTAAATTTCATATGTAAGCGCCGATTGAAACAATCTTTTTGACGTCACTACAAGGGTGATTGATTAAACGAAAGAAACGAATCGTGCGGAATGAAAGCCGAGGAAAAACTAATTGCACCAATATATTTAGGCCTACAATTCCACACCTTCTATAGGCAGGTTGAGCCTTGATAGCTAGCTGCTTGCGGGAACTGATGACCTTGACCAATGTCCAAATAATACTCTTAACAAATTTTTCGTGGCTCTGAAAAGGACCGTTTTGTAGTGATGGTTGAGTTATTCTGAGCTGGGTGTTCAACACAGATGAGGCTGTCGAGCTGTATGTCGTTTGGAGCGAAGGTGACACGCTTGGCATAGATGACCGACCCGCAGCGACTCACGAAGAGCTACTGATTCCGATCCATAGCATAGCGGTGCAGCTTCTTCCTCCTTTGATGGTTGCTTATGTGGGCTCTGCAGCTCGCTGCTTGCAGGCAGCCTTTCGTTGTTACTGGAGAACAATTTTCAACGCCACACGCCGAAAGCACTGCTACTGCTGCTACTGCTGCTACTAATTTCGACGACCGAACACCACCACACAGTGGTGTGGTCGTTGGGAGCGTGTGGTTCTGAGTATGGCGATGAGTGTGCAAAATATTACGCAGTTCCATCCGCCCTATTCGCACGCGCCTGAGGATCGGAGGCGAATGCCACTTCGACTTGTTTCGTCTACTTACTACTCTCTGACGACTGTGCTGGGGAAGCAGCATATGCATGTAGGTAATTGGTGGATTTGTTAGTTAATTCGACGCTTTTGGACAATGCTGGACATTTACCAGTTTTTCAATAGTTTCTTGTAGAAAATCAACATTCGGAAGCATTGTTATCGATGCGTAGCCATATTTCTTATCGATTGGTGATAAAATTATTGAAATTGAACCAGGGGCAGCAGAGTTATTAACGTTCAATATCTTTCTTAATTTATACATGTTCTATTTTCGGTTTTCACTAAGTGTACCCCCATATAGAAATCAAAGACGTAGTCCTACGTCAAAATGCTCTCTAAACTAATTTCCACCTTTTTTTTTATTTAAAATAAAAACTTTAGAATATTTTTTCTCACAGTTTTTTTTTTTAAATTTTTTATATGTTTAAGCCGACAATGAATGCTACCTATTGCAATATAGGTCAAGATGTGATGCTCTAATCTAATCTAATCCTAGAAAATGATTAGGTTAGATGAGTTCTAATAATTTTTCTTGTCTAATTGATGTTTACAGCATATCTGAGATATGATATAAACATCAATACGGCCAGGCCTACTGTATTTGCCGCAAAGATAATTCTTGGAAATGAATGGGAACATTTCTTGAATCTACAGGGTTGGAAGGATGCGTGGACATACCGTACCAAACGCTCCGAGTTACTATGTGTAGTTGTGTGTAATGTGTAAATATTTGTACAATATTGAAGAATCATAAAATAATGCAATGGAAGTATCTTACCGAATTTTCTCCTATGTTGGTAATGATTCTTTTGCGCTTAAAATTTTCGTTGGATGCATCCGCTCCTTGTTTATGATGGGGTTGGAGATGCAGTTCCTCGTCATTGCTCGTGGTTATGTTTAGTCCGTCGCGTCCGGACCAGATCCTTAGTCATAATCTTGACCGCATCCATCTGATTTTCTTTGGCCAGCTTTTTGATGTCGGCGATGATCGAGACGGCTAATACATAGGTGCCACAGTCGGAAGAAGTGTTAGTTTGTTTACTTAAATGAACCATGCCCATTTTGTTATGGCATGTTTGCTATAAGAAATGCGCCTCGTGTTTATTAGCGAATTTCACATCAAAGATTGATTAATTGAGTAGGAAATCAGTTTGGTACGGCATTTGTGACCAGTATACTCCTTCCGGTAGTATGAAACAAGTCAAAAACTGTTCAAATCCGCAGATAAAAATTTTTGTTTTGAATTTCTGTATAGCAAAATAGTGAACTTTTCGTGAACATTAACGGCAAAGAACTCACCAACACTGGGAGACCGTGAGTTCCCGCCCACCTGTCATAAAACCGTCTTGGGCGATGATCTTCTTTTCCTGCTGTTCCATTGTCATCTTCTCCCGATCCAAATCACGCATCGCTTTATTCAGAGCCCGCTGGTTCTTGCGCATCATCTCGTCCGGAGACATTTTCTTACCGAACAGCCGCTCCATTTTGCTGGTTGTTTTCCGGATCAAATAGTGGTAAAACTAGTTGAATAAAGCGGAGCTTCGGTGGTCTCACAAGCTAATCTTGCACAAAATTGTATTCTAATTTGTTTTTCGAATCTAACTCTACTTGTAATCTGAATACCGGTCATAAACGCACTTAGAAAATAACCTTCTTTCGGCCATAAAAAGAAAAACTATTCTTCAAAAATTTTTATCGATTTTCAAAACTGGCAAATTATCCTCAGATAAAATTTGAAAAACCGCGACGAAAACATAATAGGTATACGAGCAATTTCAAACTCCCCATTTGGAGAGGGATGGTGAGGGGTAAACATGCGATGAGCTAGTCCCTTTATTCCACTCAACCGATTCAAACCGAAAACCATACCTGACCTTTCCGTCCCGAAGTTGACCGTGTTCTACGTTTAACTAGCAAGGTCCTACATTTGAAAATGATCGTCGCGAGGTAATTTGTTTTATGATTGGTTAAGATGTGATGCTCTTTGAAAAAACTCTAGTTTTTGGAAAAGTATCCAAAACATGGTTCAATTATTTTTTCGACTTGATATATTAAAAGTACACCAAATTTACTATAAAAAAGAACTTCAGTAAAATTCTGCTAAGTCACACCGTTTTTTAATGTTGGTAGTTTTTGGCCATTTTCGAATGTATTTCACGGATCTAGTCCTTTTTCAAACTTAAGGCTCGATTTAAAATGGTGACTTCGGATAACTATCCTTCAACGAAAGGCATATCCTACTTTACGCCATGGAACTATCGCTTCATCACACTTTATCCTACCGTCGTTGCTCCCTCATCAGCCTACTAGACTAAAACAAACAACACCTTCGCTATTGGTCGAACACAGTGTGTCCTGTCGTGTCCTCTATGTTGTTTGTTCCAATATGTTTGTCCATTCGAGAAGCGCCTGCTTTGATGAAGAGCAGTTTAGTTTATTCTATCACCCATCATCGGAGCTCCGGTTCGCGTTTGTGAAAGGCTCTTTCGTCCGATCCTTCGGCAGCGAAAGCGACCTGCAAAAGGACCTGCGCATGACCACACTCCAGTGGATTCCTACAAACAGTGTGTCTCGCCGCTAGATGCTGTGATTGCAGCCGGGCGACCAAATTTTTGAACATATGCATGCAGTTGTTGTTTCGGTAGTGGGCCATATAAAATGCAATTATCAGTGCAACCGGCGGGTCTGTCCTATCACACTAGTCGATCGGTTAACACACTCCAGTCCCAGGTTGCAGACTGGTTTTCGTTCTTCCATTGTCCGTTGATGTAGTATTATCGTTGAATTACACTGGTAATCATTGTTCAATGTGGAGATTTGTTTTTGGGAACAGCTATGCATCTCCCCTCTTGTTGCTACACTACTGTCACGGAGACGCATGGTCATCGTTTGCGCTTCATCAGAATCAATTTCGAGTTTTATGACGACCAGTGTTGCTAAAGGCCAGCAGAGGAATCGAGATGAGACCGCTCTTAATTGCCGGCGGCCCCGGATAGAGAATCACCACTTGTGTTAACAACTTAGAACCACATTTTGAATAGATAATTAAAATGAGCTTTCTTCGTCTTCTTTCGTTTTTAATCGTTCATTCTTTTCTTTTTTCCTTTCAGCGAGAATTAAAGACTGAACTATTCAAACAAATCTAACGGAGACTCACCGCGTCGCATCGACTGGAATGCAATCCACGCCTGCATGGCATGTCTATAGGCAGCTGATTTATTGTGTTTAATTATCGCTGGACCTGGTGGAACGTGACGGCTCTCGTCGGGAGCTGTGACTAAGAATCACGATGCACGATTTCTGCTTGGGTCGAGACAGGGAAGAAAACAAGTGAAGAAACCGGCAAAATATTTGCGGCAAGTGCTTGTTTCCGTTTGAGGTGTTGTTTGGAGAGAGAGAGAGAAAAAAGAGCAATAGGCGTGCAATAGAAAGTAGAAAATGATCAACAAGTGCATTATAGTGAAGGGTATTCTGAAGCAGGTTGAAATCGCGCGGTAAAGAGACCGAATCAGGTGCGCGGAATAAAGCGGAAAGAAAAGAAAAAAAGTGCGTAAAGTGAATTAATGCAGTTAATGAGTGAGTGAAGAAAAGGTTGAAAAAAAATAAAATTGAGTGAAAACCACAAGCAATAGCAAGACCTTCGCAGGTTTAAGTTCGAGAAAGTCTCAGACACGGTAGCACAAGCAAAGAGAAAAAAAAGAAGCAAGATGAAAGAGAAAAGATTGCACTTGTTGGTGTCGACAATCGTTGCATCGCCAAAAATGCATGCCCTACTTTCGTTACTGGCAGTTCTGTTCGTTTTCACCGAAGCCGCTCAACGGCAACCGGTCTATATCAACAAGTGCTGTAGGGTCGGCGACTATTACGACGATGCACAGCAGCTGTGCGTGGCCGGTGGCATTCAAAAGTGGGTTCCAAAGATATTCCTCCCAGCAAAGAATCAAATCTACACCGATGTTGGCAAAGCTCCCGTTCACATGATATTCGTGGAGGACAAAAGGCCCGAGGGCTGTAAGGTTACTGCTTACACGACCGATCAGATCCTGCTCATGGGTAACGGGTCACTATTTTTGAGTCAAAAACACACGCTTATATCTTCGCCGGAGTACTGCGTGGATGAGAAAGTTGCTCTGGTGTGCGCTCGGGATAATGGAATGGATTCGCTACAGGCTCCCGAGAAAACAAGCACCGTATGGCGCTGCTGTGGGCCAAACTTTGCCTACGACCGGGCGAATCAGACATGTGTTAAATTGGACCAGTCACACGTCAGTTTCGGTGCCAAAATCGTGTCCTCTCCGCACGTGGATGTGAGCTTCCAGTTTCCCGACTGCAAGGAGCACGTGATTGCGGGATTTTTCAAACCGGATAATCTCCACGAGGACACCGGATCGGTGACGATTGATTCCGGGAAGATTTTCTCCTCGCATGAGTACTGCTTGGAGCAAGCGCTCGACGGCAAGACGGTGTATGTGTTTTCATGCTCGGAACACCTGCAGCCGGACTCGGTGCCGATTAAAAATCAGGTGAGCGTTTTACAGCATATTAAATATAAATGGTATGGTAGGGTGGGTAGATCATCTTTTCGTGGTACGTTACGGGATGTAAGATCTACCACCGAATCCTAGTCCTGACTGCTTCAAACTAGGGGAACAGGATTTTTCAGTAATCAAAGGAACACACCTTAATCCTTGTTAATTTTTATTCCTTGTTAATAGTGATAAGCCCTCGAGTTGCCTGGGCCGAAAATGTTCTTGAAACAAGGGAAAAATGAGTTAGTTAGTCTTCACCTATGTGATTCCTAATGTTCTAATCGTTGTTCCCTAGTTTGAAGTGGTTGAGACTAGGGTTCTGATGCATGGTCATTATCGATGTCATTGCTTAATTTTGTTGCTAAGGAATCCAAATTTTGGCTGACAAAGGGACGTGCCTTTGGATGGTGTTCTTACTCTTCGAAGGGGATAAATTGCGGAACCTTTCAATTAGAATTGATTCTTTGCGATGAGGGCAAGGATGATAACTGTATCAAAACCAAATACTTCATGATTTCTCAATAGTGCTGGTCCATGTCCCGAACAGAGGAAAAGTATGTCAAAAATAATGCGCATTTATACAAAGTGCTTTATGAAGGAAAGTTGTTTCATCCATCTAAAATTAATCAAATTCATCAAACCACAAGTTTTAGTTCAAAATCATTAGTAGGGGAAAACTCTATAATCGTAAATTTAGATACATTTAAGATAGTGCCATGATGTGATGAAAAACAAATCGAGAACCCTTAAGATGTTTTGCGAATTTCAGGGAAGTACAGAGACCTCCAGAGAATTTATGACTTCACAGAAGTCCAGAGAATTTCAAGGTGTTTACGGGAATTTTATTTATTTCCGAGCAGAACCGAGATCTTCAATATAACTAAGAGCTTTATGGAAGCTTCGAGAACATCAAGATAGGTCAGAGAATCAAAGGGCAGTTCAAATAATTTCTTGGAAATATTAGAAGCCTTAAAGAAGTTTCGAGAAACTCAGTGAATTTTCGAAAACATCAGCAAAGCTCCGAGAGAATTCCTGGAAATTGTATGAACATCCGGAAAACGTGAGAGTATTTTAAGGGTGTTATATCATGCAAGAACTTAAAAAAATGCGAAAATTTAGCTAAGTTGATTAGAGAACATCAACGAAGTTCCATTAATATATAAAAATAAACGAGAACTTTTAGCTCGCAGCGATATCTTCAAGAAATTCCAGAGAACTAAATTTAGATATTTTTAGATAGTTTAATGATATTCAGTGAACTTCCGAGTACTTTGAGGACGATCAGATAGCTTCAGAATAATCCCATTAACTTAAGCAAATTTGCAGCGACTTACAATTAGTTCCGTGGAATTATAGGCTATTACAATGATTGATCCTTAAACGTCAGAAGCGTCAGGGAATTATGAATATATAGGTATCTAAGAAAATTTGCTGGATTATTAAACAAATTTAGAGAACTTCAGGTAAGCATAGATAAGTTCAGGATAAAGCGAGTGCTAATAAGGGTTATAATACTCAAGGAACATTTTCGAAACTTCAAGGCAAATTAATCAAATTCAGTAAAGTTGCGGGTTCTTAAAAAATACTTATAAATTCAGGGCAGTCTAGAGAACTTTAAAGAAATTTAGTAATTTAGGTACCAGAAAAGTCTAGACTATTGAAGAAGTTTTAAATTAGTGTCGATAATTAAAGGGAAGTTTTGCGAACTTCAGAAACATCTTGAGAACTTCAGTGAAAATCATAGAACTAAATTAATTATTTCGCAATTAGCGCAATTAGCATGCTCTTAAAGACCATGGTTGAACAGTGCTTGAAAGTCTTAATAAATCTTGTAATGTTACTTGGGCGGGTGATATTAATCCGTTTTCTAATGCTTTTATACCGTTGAAAAGATTACTTCCTTAACTTTTTATTTATCTGCTGGTCACGCTACCTAGTTTTGTCGTGGTACCATCAAATCTGGATTATTATTTTTTTTACCAAGATTAGTATTCTTTCAGCAGAGTAAGTGAGTAGTACCATTGTTTGGCCCTCCCTTAGGTCAGTCGTTAAAGCAGGGCTGGTCACTTTTTAGTGACTTGGTCACTATTTTCAAGTCCGTTGCTTAAGGCAAACTATTTGGAATGAATAGCTATTGAATCTGAATTCAGACTAGGAAAAGCATGACAATTACCATTGTCGGATTGGAAGCATATTGTTGATGTAACATCTACTTAACGGAAGGCTAGCAACTCACCGACGCCCCATAGATGCTACGGACTTGGATAGTTGAGTAGGAGATGGGTCAGGATTCACTTATGCAGGCGATGCGACCATAGTAATTGTTTTATTTTGGAGGAGCTTGGGAATAAACCCACGATCTTCTACTCAGTAAGCAAAAGCGGTAGCGATGAAGCTTGCAAAGCTCCTCAATTTTAATTCCAATTCAATTTTAATTCCAAATAAAATGTAAACAAACAAAAAGGAAGGGTCTCACCCGAATGATCGAATTTACTGCTCTGTATGACTGAATTATCTATTATCGAATAACTGTTATTTCCGATAACTACAGGAAATAATAAATTTAAAATATTGACTGTAGACAAAACGTGACTACACCCAAGTAACATTGCAAGTTTTATGGAGGTTTTAAAGCATTCTACAAGTCTCAATCATGTTCTCAAGAAGCTATTCTTCAGGGTATACTAAAAAGAAAAGAAAAAAAAAACATATTACATTCCGGATTTTGTAAATTTCTCGAGATTCTCAGGCCTCAGTACCAAAAAATCCAATTTTATAACAGCTAAATGGGCTAATGGCATTCGGACTACTAGAATGAAACTCAGCCTAATGGAACACCACAAACAAAATGTGCCATCCAATGATGTCATGCAGCTGAATGACTTGCTCACATTTTAGTTTGTTTATGGGGTGTTTACATCTGTGCGGATTTACTCGCGCTAGTGTACTCGCCAACTAGCACGAATTTCAGTTGCTCCTGAAATTTCATGCTGGTAGAGGTCACTTTTTTACAACAAATGTTGAGAGTAAAGAATTTGACTTTACTTTACTAGGACTCATGTCACAGAATATTGAGTTCTTTCTTTAGTGCATTAAATAAACTTAGAAAAAATAAAGTTTTATGTCCATGATTATAAAATGTTTTCTATGTTTCAGGGCCATTTAAATTGTTCAAGGTCTGTGAACTTATACTCTATACGTCAAAATATAGAACATTATTCCAAGCTGCACAATTTGCTCAATTTGTTTGTCTAAGTCCCAGCAATAGAAAAAAAAATGGTCCAAAACTCTAAACTTAATGCCTAAACCCCTAATTTTTCGCGATCGTGATAGGACTTAACTAAAGGCATTCACTTTTTTTTATGTCCGTGATCTTTCCATCTGGGAGAATTTTTCTCGTTCCATAATAGTGAGATTGACTGCTATTTACGTCCCATAGTTATGAAATTTTGCATCAACTGTTACAGAAGATTCTATTCTTAGATGAATGGAGCAAAGTATAAATACCACCAGTCCGTAATAGCAACTATCAAGAAGAGAACTATCTTATTATTAAAATACGCATTGCTAACTTAGACATACATTGAATTATAGACTGCAGTTCTTCTCATTGATTAAAATTATCTGTTCTAAAATTGTCAAAATTTGTCGAAATCCGTGAATTTGAACATTTTTCTCTGTGCCTCAATTTTGTGATCTTATCATAAATTCTACATCTAATATCCTCTTAGTACATTGTTTGTTTAAAAAAAAATAGTGGTAGACAAAATAATGTAGAGTAAGGAAATGGAGGTTAGAATTTGACTGCTCGTGCTTATTCGTGCTTATGCTTATTCAATTCATACTTATTTTTAATTGATGGGGTCCTTAAACCATTTGTTTTATTTTTAAGAAGCATGATGGGTTTGTGAGTTTATAAAATTTCTCGAATTGGCAATCGCAATCAACGAAAGATTGGAACCATATCTTTCTGATCAATAAATGCCATTATTGGTCACTTTTTTCGTTATTTTAGTCACTGAAGTCACTACTATTAAAGGGTGTCCACGATGAAATTGCCACACACAAAATTGATTCGCAAAATTCGAGTTTTCATCCGATTGCCATCAAATTTTCAGGGATTGAGAAATAACTATTAAACTTCATTTTACCATTTTACTCGTATTTTTTTTTACAGTCCATACGCAAATGCCCGCACCTTGGCCTTAACCCCGGCCATAAGATTCTGCACAACCTGTGAATCAACCGTTTTTTGCATGTAAACCCATACTTTCTTCAGTTCCTCGACTGTCTTCACTACCTTAGGTCGTTTAAGAAGGTGCTGCTTCATAATCGCCCAGTACTTCTCGATGGGGCGGAGCTCCGGAGTGTTGGGAGGGTTGAACATTTTCGGCACGAAATTGACCTTATTGTCCGCATACCACTTCAGTACGTCCTTGGAGTAGTGGCATGAGGCCAAATCCGGCCAGAAGATTGTTGGGACGTTGTGGGCCTTCAGGAGAGGAAGCAGCCGCTTCTGGAGGCACTCTTTTATGTACACCTGTCCGTTCATCGTGTCCTGGGTCACGAAAGGTGCACTCCGCTTCCCGCACGTGCAGATGGCTTGCCAAACCAGGAATTTCTTCGCAAATTTGGACATCTTCTGAGTGCGGACATGCTCCGGAACGCTGAACTTATCCTTGGCCGTGAAAAACAGGTTGCCGGGGATCTGTTTGAAGTCGGCCTTCACATATGTTTCGTCGTCCATGATGCAGCATTCAACTTTCGTCAGCATGTTGAGGTACAACTTCCTGGCACGGGTTTTGGCGGACTTGTTCTGCTTCTCGTCGCGATTAGGGGCCTTTTGTACCTTGAACGTTCGAAGCCCAGCCTTAGTTTTGGCCTTCTGGACAAAACTTCGGCTTAGGTGCAGCTTCTTAGCCACATCCCTAACGGAGGCGTTCGGATTTCGGTTGAAGGCCCCAACTACGCGGTTGTGATTTTTGGTGTTGTACGGAATACTTTTTCCTTCACTTCTGGGCTTCCGATCGGTAGTCAACCGTTCCTCGAACCGCTTAATCACTCGCGACACCGTGGAATTCGCGATTCCCAACGTTTTAGCGATGGAACGATGCGAGAGATCCTTGTTCTCGTGATGAATGCGCAAGATTTTATCACGCACGAGCTGTTCTTTCGACTCCATTTCCGCGAGTTTTGATCACAGGACTTTAAAACTTGCTGGATGTAAATAATGCACTATGAACTAAATCCACCAAAATTTTCATTAAATTCTACCCAACGGTTAAAAAGTTAGAGCAATTTCATAGTGTGGCAATTTCATCGTGGACACCCTTTACATCACATACCCACTACCAGCCTTGGTAAAAGCGCAACTATAAAGCAAGACCATGTTGAAGGCAGCTGGGTTCGATTCCCGGTACGGTATCAATGAGGTGTATTCAGGTGAAGAGATGATCGAAAAATGGTGTTCGTGTAGTGTAAAATATATCAGTGTTTGTGACGTGACGTCAAACTATACTTTTTCATGTCAATCATTTTGGATTTTTTCGTTATCACCGATTGTTTACCTCATTTTTACTACTAATACCAACAAATACCCTATTATGCCACACCTGTATAGACACATTGGTTCGGTCTAGGAAATTTTTCGGGTTTGAAAATTTCTCGGCATCCCTGGTCATAAAGTATGCAGCATAATTCATGCAAAAATGGTACAGTCATAGAAAGTTGAGGGTCAACGTAAAGTCTCAAGGGGGACTTAATGAAGCTAAGAAGAAGGTCATGCTAATACAAAGGTACATGCCGAAATTACTCAGTGGGAAGAAATCAAAAAAAGTGGGACATGGCCATTTGCGACGAAACTATTGAGTGACGCATTTTGATGTCTTGTACAATGTTTCTTCATTTATTGAGTACTATTTGAGAGGTGAAAAACGCTTTTAAGGGGGTATTAACGGTTGTACTCCATATTCAACTTCGCCCACTTGAGAGATAAAAAATTGACGTCCTCGACAAAGTTTCTCAAAATGACTTTATCTACAATGTTTCCATAGATGTTCATTAATTTTAACAAAACAGAAAAAAGTTATTTTTTTTATCTGGGTGTAAACCCTTCTTAAACAAACATTTTCACCACTCAAATATAGTGCTAAAAAAATAAAGAAACATTCAAGAAGACTTCAAAATGCTACACTCAATAGTTTCGTCGCAAATGGCCATGTCCCATTTTTTTTGATTTCGTCCCACTGTGAGCTGGAGCAAATATTAAGATCTGCTCGGATTTTTGAAGATGAGATTTGTCGTCCCTTGACAATTTGAATTATTGCCAATTTAGAGAAAACTTAGCATTTGGTGTCAGATTATCAGCTTTAATAGCATGCTGTGGCTGTCAGTTCTTCCTTTCCTTTATTTAACGTCGGTCTCTGTTCCGCAATCTAGAGCCAATCACCGACGGACATCGATTGCCATCCATTGACGGCAATCGAATGTGCAGGAAGGCAGCTTCCACACCTGCGTAGGATATCGCACCCATTCAACAACGCACATGGGCCGGGACCAATGGCTTTACTTCCCTTCCGAAGGAAGACGTGACCAGAGATGCCTCAGAAAAATCCCACCGACCTCGGCTGGGATTGAACCCAGACCCATTGGTGGCTGTCAGTTGCGTCGAATTATTTTCCATGTAACGGCAATAGTAGGTTGGATTAAGATTCGCTGAACTTTATCCGTAAGGCTATGTTGTTATTTGAATCCTCAATGCTTAATATGTTGCATCATGGTTTTAATTTAATTACCGGCCTCATATGTAAAATCAGACAAATGATTGGCTAATGGTGATCGGATGTAGCCCGGTATTTACATCAGCTTCTTCTTCTTCTTCTTCTTGTTCGCATTTCAAGCTTATTGCTTAGCGCATATTAGCTTATTGCGTGCTCTTAACTTAGTGTTCTAAATGCACTTCCACAGTTATTAATTGAGAGGTTTCGATGCCAATACCAATGCATGAATTTGTATATTGTGTGGCAAGCACAATGATACTCTATATGCCCAGGGAAGTCGAGAAAATTTACAACCCGAAAGATTCCCTCGACCGGACCGGGAATCGAACCCGCCGCCTCCGGCTTGGTAATACCGTGCCTTTACTGACTAGACTATGAGACCCCCCGCATTTACATCAGCGTTGCTCTCGAAAAGCAAGAATTAATCCTATAGTATCACTATGTTTGTTTTCTAAGTTCTACTGTAAGCTGTATTCACTTGAATGAAAGATAATTTCAATACAAACCAATTTTTTTTTCTTTAAATAATCTTTCTATATAAGTTAATTTCTTTCATCGTGTATGGTCAGCATGATAAATGAAATCGCAAATTTTTTATATTGTTGTTCTAAAAGTTATCTCAACCAAGCCAGCAAAAAGCAACTTCGTTAATCATTCCCGCACAAAGAGCCAACGGCAATTGCCGATTTTCTTCGCTTCATAAATTGGCAAGCCACTCGGTCGTGAAATCTCCAAAGTGGATTATGAATGCAAACTGGATCAAATTACCAGATTTTATGCTCTCGCTTCTCCTTGCTTCTATTTCCCTCTCACCTTCCATCTACCGCTGATCACAATACCCAACACTCCGCTTGTTTCCACTAAATTGAACCTTTTAAATATTTTACAGAAATCAATTTCAATTATGGCACCCCTCACTCATCACATTTTATGTGATTACGCTCGTGAGGCTGCTGTAAGGCCACAAGGTGGCGAAGGGGTGCAAAGTTTTCTGTTTGTGTCTGCTGCGGGAACTCATCCTCAATCATGCACGTCAGTCAGTCAGTCATCTACAATGAACGAACGAACGGGCGGATGGTAAAACGGTTTGGCGTTTGAAAGTCAACACTTCGACATGATGTTATCTCCCTTGTACACGGCACACGGCACAGGCTGGTTCGAGGGGTGTCGATCTGCTCCTGTTGTTACTGTCGGTATGACATGCGAGCGGGGATAAATTGAATTAATTTTCTGCACCTTCCAGTTCCAGTTCAACAAGCGTGGGGTGGACTTTCGTTGCCTTGTTTTTGGAGAATTGTTTGTGACGTAATATTTTTTTTCTGGTTTGTCATTTTCAGGACATCCGATTTGCGCTGTACGCCGCAGGGCTGCTGGTTTCGGTGATATTCCTTGGAGCGACCCTTGCCACCGGGTACCTGGTAACTTCGCAGCATCACGTCCTCCATTGGCGCTGTCAGACGCACTACGTTGGGTGTCTGCTGATTGGGGACCTCTTCTTGGCCATCGTCCAGCTGTCCGGAAACACGATAACCGGTCCGGCGTGCACAATGATAGGTAAGTTGGTTACTGTAAGGCTTTTCCTCGGGCTTTTTCTTTATCAATGCTGATTGGTCCGCTCGTCGGAGAGGCCGTTCAGAACTCGCTGCAGCAGCGGTAATTATCTATAATTAAGATCTTATTATGAAACATTTCGCATAGTTAAGATGCTTTCGGTGGTCAGTTTGGGAATGGGAAAAGTCACACACCACGGCACAGTGGGCCATGTTGTCGAAATTTCGGCTCAGAATGATGTTCTTATTGGTACGCTTGGAAGTGAAGACCACGACCATTAATGCTTCCGAATTTTCTTTCCCACTGTGCTCAAGAAAGCATGCTTTTGCTCTCACAAGAACCAGTTTAGCTAATTTATAGTTCGAAAAACGAGCCAGTTGAGTACATGGGGGAAAAAGAATTACGTTGAGTTTACGATCATTCAGACCGACGCAAAATTGTGTCGAGTGGACTCAATTTCGTCAAAAGTGGATTTATTCCAAAGTGAGTTGAATTTTCCGGGCTTTTCCAGGAAAATACTTCTCGAATATGAGGAAAATCAATAAATCTGTTATTCTAATCTTAAAATGATTAAAATTTTCGTGGATCTCCCTCATATTTGAGAAGTTTTTCCTAGTTTTCCACTATTGCCGAAATTGAGTCGGTCTGAACGACCGTGCATGGTGCAATAATATGCTTTTGCCTGTCGAGAAGTGGAGCCATAAATTGGGAAGTACCCGAAGGAAACGAGTTTGGAGCCAGGAGGAGCGTTCTTCTTGCACGGTTGGACGGTAATAATAGGCTTTTCCGAGCCAATTCACCACAACAGAATAGACTACTGTAGACTCGGCACGATGAGCACTCTTTTGGCTCTAGGTTACGATGAGTGCTCTCGGTCGGTGTCTAGCTGAAGTCTATTTTACTACAAGACAATTGTCTTTCGGTTTGTAGCTGCATTCGGAAGAACTGCTGGTTTATGTGTTGGATTTAGACAATATTGAGGTTTTGTTTCGTGCAAAGTGCATTTGGAGCTGGGCACTGTGAGAAGTCCAACCTTTCTGTTGAGTCTATTTCTCGTTTGCTTTGGTAGATTAAGGCAAGATTTGCTACAGTGTCCACTGGAGCAATGCAAAACATGAAAGGGTCGAACTTTTCCTGTTCGCTGCGTTTCTCTTCCGAATGCTATTCGTACGATTTGAGTGTAGTAGTGCACACCGAGATGCGATTGTAAAATTAGACGATTTATGTTCGAGCAGTTTTGCTCCAATAAAGCTTCGCTCGCAGATGCAGCCATTGCTGTGGGTTGCGGTGTGATTGTTATTATTACTCTCTTTACTATTATTAGGGCTGTGAGTACATGTCCATAAATTACTGATCTATTGCGCTGATAGGATTATGGTGTTTCGGTCTCTTGGCTTTGGACCGACGCCGGCGGTGTGTCCAGCCTCGGGGAGTGAGTGTCTGGTAAGGAAATGGACGCTTTTGATGTAGCTTGAGAGAGGAAACGGTAACGTTGTTAATTTGCTTTAATGGGTTTTCTTGTGAAACAATAGCTGCACAAAACGGGGCTGCGCCGTGTTGGTGCTTTGATATATTGGATGTGGTTTGAAATCTTTTGTTTGGGGGAAGTCCGCAACACGATTGGCTTACAGCTGGAATACAACATATTCTACTTACACACAAAATTGTTTCATAAAGTTCATGTGTTGACAATTTTGACTGGTATGATATAGTTGTCAATAAACTCCAATAAAATATGTTGAGAAACGGCTTGCTTTTATTAATATAGCCTTTTTCAGTTCAGAATATCAGTGTCGCCATAATCTCAATCTTCCTATTCGTCATCTCTTGGTTGGATCGATTTTCTCTTGCTTTAATAACTCAGATAACCAAAATGTTCCCTTATATGTATGGCTTTTTTTTATACAAGATTACACCTTCTTTCATCGAACAGCCTTGAGAAAATAGCTGTAAATATGTTTACATAACCATGAATCAATAGAGATTGAACATTTCGTAATGTTTCTGAAAAATTCAAGATTATTATCTTGCTTGAAATTACTTGGCAAGGATCTACGCACAGGAGTGCAACTTCGGATCAGAAAGTTGCTCCACTAGTAATTTGCGAACACTAGCGCACCTAGCGGTAAAAGGCATCTTCTGCCTGCAGTTAAGATAGGCATCATGCTATGATAGTGTGAGTGCACATAGAAAGCCTGTGTGGAACGCTACCACAACACATCGCTTATTGAGCAGAAAAACTAATCATTTTTTGATTCACCGATTTGTTTGCACTTCCCCTTCTGTTCTGCGATCTACGGTTCGTGAACATTATTAAAAAAATGTATATATATGAACGACTGTCTTCTCAAGGGGAGAAGGGGTTTAAAATTTCTCATAGACTACGTAGTTTATAGACAACCCCTTTCTACATCATAACTTGAATAAACTGGTCATATTGGCAAAGGCAAAATGTCTAAGTTTGGTATCCCAAATATTTCTCGTAAAATCTTTATTAATTCTTTAAGCCTACATTTCAAAATAAATCAACGTCCTAGCGCGTTTGTCTAAGTCAAAGGTTTTTAATATTTTCCTAGGAGCTCAGGGCTGGTCAATTTTTAGTGGCTAGGTCACTACTTTCAAGTCAGTCACTGAAAAGTCACTTTTTTCAACCCAAAGTCTTTACTATTTCTTAAAATTTAGTCACTAAAGCAGCATTTTTAAGGACCAATAATGTCGAGATTAAATGACATCACATCAAATCACAGCTTGATTTCGTAACAAATGTGTGTTAAAAAAATTCATTGAAAATCAGCTTGAAAGTTTTCCAAACCTAGACAGGGGGGAAAAATCTATGTACATTTCAGAAGTATTTAAATTTTTCTAGGACTGTGAACCACAGTCTAACATTCTCACCCCTATTCTGTATTTCGTTTCGAACGAAATTCTCATACAAAAAAATATTTTTTTGTATGAGAATTTCGTTCGAAACGAAATACAGAATTGGGGTGTCTATATATTCAAATTACGAAAGTTATTCCAGGCCGCACAATTTTCTTAACTTGTTTGTTTTAGAGATCCCAGCATTGAAAAATTAGTCCAAAATCTCTAAAATCCCGGAATATTACATTTTTTTTTCGAAATCCAGATTTTAAGTCGCTTGCAAAATAAATCTGACTCATATGTGAGTCCCGTTCACTCAAATTCACATTTGAGTAAATTTTTACACATCACTCATATGTGAGTGACATGACGTGATTTTTTATTCTCTTGTCAAATAAATTGATTTTGAACCGTTTTTTCGTGTTTCGGATAGTTTCGGTTGGAGTTTAGTACGATGTTATACAGAAAGTTTTTAAGAATCGCCAATGATGAAGCAAGGTCTGCTAAATGTGAAAAATTTAGAAACAGGCTAGAAGCGTAACCCAATGGAATCCCATGAATTTACCATCAAGGAATTCAAATAGAACAAGAAGCAGCTTTCAACGTCACAACATTGGTGAAAACTATCCATTTTTATTTTTATTTTATTTTTTTTTATTTTGACACATAAATATAACATAATCAATACTATCGTAAATCTGCCAGTAACGTTTATCGAACGTTTGGCCTTAGCCTTCCCACTAAGAAACCTCCAAAGTCCTGTTACACTTATGAGAGGTCGTAGAGTGCTCTGCTTCTCTCATAAGTAAGTGTCCAACTAAAAATCTTTCCCATCCCCAGCAGTTTCAAGGACGTGGCCAGGACAGTTCTCGATTATTGGAGATACTGCTACCCATCTAAGAGGCCGAGATCAATCCCATATCTCGGTCAGTACGGTAACGGACGCAGGTGGCAATACTCACATACACTGGGGGGGGGGGGGGGGGGGAATTTAAGTGAACCTGATTCAAATATAAGTCAGATTTATTTGCCGTGTATTCCACGATCTTTCCATCTTGGAAAATTATCCTCGATTTTTTTTCTTGGACTGCTATCTAGAAAAGTTGTGTAGGGCGTAGAGTTATGAACATTTGAGGTGCAAATGGTCAACATTTGTCTATATCCTAGACTTTGAACATTTTTCTTTGTGCCTCAATTTTTCGTTCAATCACTTATTTGAGATCTGAATATAAAATCATTTTAGTAAATTGTTTGTTGTCAAAAATCGAGTCAGAACAATGAATAGATATGGACAGTAGACTGATGCAAATTTTGTCTTTTTCGCTCCACAGTGCTTAAATGGTTTAAAATCGGGTCCTGATTAACCTTCCAAAGTTTCAACTCATTTGGTTAGAAACAGACTTCGCACAAGCCATTTGAAGTTTGCATGTAAATTACTATGGGAAATCTCAACTTTTTGTTCATTGCCTTCTAGTCTTTTTCCATATTAAGGGGGTATTCCCAATCTTTTGCCTTTTTTCGGCCTGTTTTTCAATTAATTTTTTTTCAAGGAAAATGAATAGTAATGCGCCTAACTCTTTGGGATTCTTGTTTATTGAACATTAAAGTTTACAAATAAATTTTTTTCGACATAAAAAAGACATTATTGACGTCACAAAATGGCGGCAAACAGACCCCTGTTCGCCGCAAACGCCTGGACGGGCGAAGACTTTTCTCTGGAACGGCTTATCTGAAACAGATTTCGTGATGAAATTAATAATCTGCATAAGATTCTCTGGAGCTTCTCCCGTTGGCAGCAAAAAATCTTGCAAATTAACAAAATGGCGGCCATATAAAAAAACAGGCGATTTTTAGCCCGCTTTTTTGCAGCTTTAAGGTGCTTCAAACAATGTTAAATGTTAATATTTTTGGCTGAAAGTGGGAGAAGCTCCAAAGAATTTAATAAGGAACAAAATGCGCAAAGATTCAAGTCAATATCTCTTATAGTTTCTGAGAAAAATCTTCGCCCGATAAAAAAATGTGGTTTCGAGAAAAACGCGTTTAAAGTTTTGACTTTAGTTTTGAGGGTTCTTACCATTAGTCAGCTATGCCTGGACACCGAATTTGCTGATCGGAAAACGGCTTGGGGGGATGAAAGTATA